AGTAGGCAGTCTAGGGGAGCACAGTTAGGGAAGTAGGCAGTCTAGGGTTAGAGAATTAGATCAGGGGACATCTGGCAGTAATTGCAGAGCCTGATAAAGAAATCATAGTTGAGTCTCATTCATTTGAAGCTAGACAGGGCATAATTTATATTACTTTATAGAAACAGCCTGAAGGGAGGACACAGTTGGGTGCACCCGGACCCCTTGGGCACCGAGTTAAGGAGCTGCAGGGTGTGCTCCATGCCTGGCAGGCTGAGACATCCCTTTCTCTCACAGGGTTTGACACCAGCATCCTGCCCATCTGCAAGGACTCCTTGGGCTGGATGTTCAACAAGTTGGACATGAACTATGACCTCTTGCTGGACCACTCGGAGATCAACGCCATCTACCTTGACAAATATGAGCCCTGTATCAAGCCTCTCTTCAACTCGTGTGACTCCTTCAAGGACGGCAAACTCTCCAATAACGAATGGTGTTATTGCTTCCAGAAGCCAGGAGGTAAGGCGGGCTCCAAAGGCCAGGCAGCATGGGCAGAGAGCATAGCAGAAATCTGTGCGCAGAAAGACAGAGCTATCAATCGCCCTAGGAAACTGCAAGCCCAGAGGCTCCTCCTGTCTGCTTTTAACATGGCATTTTAGGAAACCAAGAGTAAAATGATGGTAGCTTTTAACTGAACAGTTCCTTCCTTTAGGAAAACATCCATACCATGCCTAGCATTCCCATCTAAAAAATGGGTGTGTAGAAACCTTCCCTACATGGTTCTCAAGGCTGTAATGAGATTTTCAATATGAAAAATACTATACAATGTAAGAGGACTCTGTTTCCCATTTCCTGTGAATTCTTAATTATGTTTTGCTTATAAACAAATGATAATGACATACACAGAATCTAAGGAATATAGGATCCCAGAGTAGCTCCTGTCACCCAAAGTCAGGAACCAGAGCCACCTGGCTCCAGCATTCCATCCAATGACCATCCTCTGCCTTCCTGTGGGTGGGTCCCCTTTCCTGTCTGGCTTTTACTTCTGTCTCTGCCCCCTAAGGGGTGTACCCACTGGACCAGAAATCTGGCAGTCTGTCTACTAATAGCATTTAAATTGAACAATATTTATGCGTGTGCACAAAGATGCCAGGATACCTATCAAAAATGTAGACACTCCTAAGAACATTCAGGGAAGAGTAATTTCATGTGCACATTCATAGGGTTATCAGAGATGTCCCCAGTGGCGGAGCATGCATCTTTCCATTTCAGCACAATTGCCAATCTGCCTTCCAAAAGAAGTTACATTAGATATTTTTGGTGAGAGAAAAAAAGTTCAGAATATCATTTGTGTCAGTATCAAACCTAGTCACTGTTGCCAAACTGGAACAAAGTGATGCTACACTCCCCACTGGGTCCAGTCTCTGTAATGAACGGATCTGAGGAATTGGGCCGCCTCTGGCACATTCTTAGGTTTCTATTTCCTTGAAATAATTTTATAGACTTTTTTTGGTACATTTTTTCCTATTGAAACTGTGCTTTATTTTCTGCAGGAAAATGTATATCTATGGACTTAGAACCTTTGCTGTGACAGAAATCGCAAATAGTTTTTCCCCAAACTTTGTACATTTTCTTGTTGGGGACAAATTTAATTTTTCACGTATTTGCATGTCTTTATTTTCTTGTTCTATGCTTTAAGTCATAGGCTTGCAGTAGGCTTAGAAGGGTATTGTCACTTGAATCTACTCAGGCAACTCATGTTTTTGCTAACATTGGTGAGTTTGTGTTTGTTCAAATTTTGCTTTACTCACGTATGTGTGCACAGCCAGGGAGGCCCTGGCTCCTGCTTCAAGCCTGGAGATGCAACCTAGTTGTCTTCCTGCCATTTATTGATGAATCTTTCTTCTACCAATAGCGTATCTGACTATATAAGTGTGCGTGTGTGTTTGATTTATTCCTGAACACTCAGTCCCACTTCCCTAACTGTCCATAAATCAATTCTATCCAATTTAATTCACAATTTAAAAAAGAAACAATTTAAATCACAGTTGATTGACCCTGTGTCTTGGTATATTGTAATTTTCTCTTCTCTTGCCGCTAATTTTTATTTCAGAATGTTCTAGATAGTCATGTTTTCCTTCCCTCCTGAACTTTAGATTGCATTTTATTAAAAATTCCCCTCAGCTACATAATATTGAATCCTTTTATCTTAGAGGCTTCTCGAAGCTAGTGGAGTTAGAATTCTCAGTTTTGTTTCCATTGTGGTTCCCCTTGGCACTCCGGCGAGGCATCTGCTTTTTATTCTCCTCCTCACAGAACTCTCCCTGTGTCCAGCTGTCCTGGTTGTCAGGATGTTTTCAGGTATAAACTGTATGATGTGCAAACGGAAATAACTTTCCCTTAAATACTAAAATATAATTGTGTTGTTTCTCCTTCACTTTATACCATGTTTCCTTCTGCTCCCTAACTATAGTAGCTAACACACACTGGAGTAACAGCAGTTTACAATTTGAGCTCAACAGTTTCAAATGCTGGTGGCACAGAGCCTGACCCACTGTTCAGGCTGACTTCACTCATTGCTATACCGGGGGACTGAGCTGGTCACTACACCACAGGGCTATCTCTGGACAGGCTCTTCTTTAGCATGTGGAGGGAAACGTCAGGACTCCCACCTGGGGTGTGCCTTGGAATGATGAGGCATTCCCAATTAGTTCAGAGAAAAGTTATTTCGCATTTTGCACCTTTCTCTCAAGTCCGCTTCATCTCCGTGCTGTGACGTCACATTGTGTGATTTGCTGCTTTGCTTCATAAAGAAGCCTCAAGATGATGGGATGTCATACTTACAGTTGTAGGTCAGTGGTAAGGACATTCAGGTCTCAGTTGGCGGTGCTGTTTGGGGAGGCTGTGGGACCTTTGTAAGTCAGACCCTTTTGCCTCTCGGTGCTTCTTGTGCATAGAGGCAACAGCCTCAAGCCCCCAGTGGACTCTAGCCTCCCCGAACTGTAAGTCAAAATATACCCGTATTTTCCTTCAGTTGCCTCAGTGAAACACCATGGCCAGAAGCAGCAATTCTAACTATGCAGGATTCTTTTTCTACGTTTTGAGGACCTTGATTTCCTAGAAACCACCTGAGCCCCGTCCAGTGTGCGCCACGTCTCGGAGATGTGACGTCTTATGCTTCTTTGAATGATAGGATTAGATTCTTTTTAATCTTCAGGAAACTTTTCTTCTTTGACGCTCATCTTGAGAACTTTTCTCTCTATCTGGTTCGTCTCTCTCAGCCACAGCACAGTTGTGTCCTACGAGACCCACAGCTCTGGAGGTGACTCTCCTCTCTGTAATTGTTTCTGTCTGTCACAGGCACCCTTGAGCCTCCACATCACTCCCTGAACCCTGCTCTCCTAAGGTCCACTTTTTTATTAGAAACCTCCACTGTGTTGTCATCTGCTCAGCAGCAAATTTTTTTTCAGGATGAATTTTTCATCTTAAAAATGACCAAAAATAAAATGTGCGTGTGTCTCATTCTTACCTACATTTCAGTTGATTTCTGTCAGTTTTAAGTTTTCCTTTCTTTAAACAATTAGGTTTTTAAACTATTGTAAAAAAAAATTAAAGAAAGTATTGTAAAATTATAACCCCACTCCATTGAAAGAGCCAGATTATCCTTCTGTATACCAACTGTCTCTGCTCTGTCATGGACGAGAATTTCCATTTACAAACTAGTGATAATGTCAGCACCTATTTTGTACGGTGGTTGTAAAGATTTTTAAAAAGCTCTAGAATATTCTAACAGTTTGGTAAAGCGTAGCTATTAGTCACAGTAAGTGCTGCCTTTCATACTCACCGTGGGGTTTGTTTCAGTTTTCCTCCTTACCCTGACTGCAGTAAGAAGCATGGATTTTTGCAGCCAATCTTTCTCACCTGGAGGCAGTAATGCCAGGTGGTGTTGTAAAACCCATATGGTAATAGACAGAATCAGGAGCTGTAGAGAGAGATGGTTAGGATGGCAGAGGCATGGGACCCCTTACCCAGGCTGCAAAGACCCTGATCCAATGACAGGACCTGCCAGAGACATAAGACAAAGGCACATAATGGGCATACCCCAAAATACTAGTGAGGTCACCTGTCACTTTGCCCAGTAGTAAATTCTTCTCTAGGGAGACCACACAAGTCCGTGCTCTGCCATCCTCACCAGGAGCCATGTGGCTCCCTGTGTGTCCTACACAGCAGTTTCCTGGAGGTTGTTCACACAACATGTAACTCCACAAGTGAGGACTCAGTGGCTGACGGAGGGGAAGAGATGTTGGGAGTCCCCGGTCTTCAGGAGACAGAGAGAAGAACTCAATGTGTCTCACCCTGGATGCCTTTGCTCCTTGACTTTCCCGTGGCGATCACATTCACACAGGCGTACCTGAGCGCTTCTAACCTCTCTCGCCCCCCAAGACAGGAGCCCGCAGCAAATCAAGCATGATCAGCCCTGGCTAGCCAGTCTGCATATTCAGAGTTCTTAACCTCTAGTAAGCCCGAGCCTCAGATTTCAGCTCCCAGAAGCCTTTGCTGGATGTTTCCCTTGATGAGAAAATGACAAAGGCTATGAGCCGATCAGCTGGTTGTTTCTTGGTCTGATATAGGAAGGAAGTGTTCTATATTATGTAAGTAGCCTCCATGAGCTATTCTAAGTGCCTTGTGATACAGAGCTCTTCTTAAAATTAGTAACACTAATGGCCTGGGTTTGTTTTGTTATGCAGTCAACAACATATGGAGCAATTCCACACCCAGGTGTGTCAGAGCCCACATTCTGCATCAAGAGTGGAGTCAATCATTGGGAGATTATATTCCGTACCATCTGGAAACTGACTTCCATAAATTATTTTTCTAGGTCTCCCTTGCCAGAATGAAATGAACAGAATTCAGAAGCTGAGCAAGGGGAAAAGCCTACTGGGTGAGTACAATTCCTTGCCACTCATTAGAGCAACTAATTAAACCATCCCCGTCTCTCGTAACATTCAGCTCTGCAGTGTTCATCCAATTAGAGGAGATGGAAGAAATGCTTCATTTTCCACCAGCCTGAGCCCTTGTGTTCAGCTGGTAGGAAGACAATGCCCTCTACCAGCAAGCAAAGCCAGAGGTTGGGCCAGGGCCTTGCAGGCAGCCTTGGCCATGTTCAGTGTTCAGCTCTCTGCTGCTCTCCTGCTCTGATTCTGGATGCACTAGCTCTTAGATTTCTCTCTGTCACATAAGGTCATTGGATGGAGCGCAAGAGCATCTTTCCAGCTCTCAAAGTGAAAGACTTGTAAGTTAGGACATTTCTTCTCTTCCCCTTTAAGGGGCTAGGTATCCATTTAAGGAACAAGACAAGCTGTGACCCCTGCCAGAGTGTGTCAGATAGGGTCAAAGGGCATGTACCTCTCTGGATGGAAGACTCCAGCCTGTTTAGAGGCTGCTGCTTTCTCCTTTGGGTTTCAGGCAGAAGTAGGTCAGTCGCAGGAGTCCAAGCTCCATTTTGGCCTCTTAGCTTAGGGATGGGGTGTGTGTGTGTATGGAGGAGGTATGGTGGCCATCACTGGCTTACTGGTAAACCTCATTGGATGAAAAGCGAGCCTGCTGTCTTTCCCTGTTAAAAGGAGCCGACAGCTGCAACCTAGTTATTCAGATATTTTCCTCAAGTGTTCAGAGGCAGGTGCGTTCCCCAAGCAATGCACTGCTTCAGAAGTTAATCTATCTTTAAGGAGATGGACACCATTTTTTCCTAAAGATTGCCAAATGCAAGCGTTCTATGAATGCTGGTAACTTGTCTTCTAAATGTTGGGATCACCTCATAGTCCACGCCCCCCTCTCCTACCTTTGATAATAACTTATTTCCATGGCTTGCCTCATACTTTTGATTTTGGCCAGAACTTGAAAGCTGTGCTTTTGAACTCTTGCTGTCTTGGTTTGTTGGTGTAGAAGCTGTCTTTCTGGCTGAAGGCACAGCATCCAGATCCCTCCCCCATCTGTTTTGTTCAACCGACGGGACTTCCGGTGGCTACCTGCAATATTCTGCACAGGGCAGTGTTAGAATATACCCAAGATCTACACGTAGTTTATGCAATTACAATGTATCTAAAGGTCCATGGATATGGTGATTTTTATCCTTCGTTAATAACACATTTATAAGGTATATGGCTAGGTGACATGTTTCATTTTCATGGTCCTCGGCACACGTGATCCAGCTACTGCCTACCTTTCTCCTAACGTAATCTCGCCCGTGTCTATCTCAAATCTCCCACATTCTGAGCTCACTCCCGACTGACTCACGAAAACGCCATCTATATTGCCTACAAATTATTTTCTGCGTGCAGAAAATCTCCTAATAACAACTGTGTGTATTCAGGGACATTCAGATTCAAATAAATAAAGGAAACAAGCAACAACAAATCATAATCAGTTATAATTACTACCTACTTAGAAAAAGCGGTAATCTTATTAAATTACAGACTTAGCACAACACCTGCTCCTAACCAACCGGAGGGCTCAGCCCAATCTGAATGTATTCTGTGTTCTATTAGGTACTGTGAAGTCTAACTGCTTCTGGGGGGGGAACCTGCATTTCCCACATTCTCCACCTCTTCTCCCCCTCCTCAGCAGTCCTTGACTGAACAGTCTCTTCACAAAGCTCCCTGCCTTCATCTAATCCTTATTTCCCTCCATGCCCTCTGGAAGCTAAGGCTCCTGAGGACTAGCTGGAGCTCCTAGGGAGAAGGGTATAGTGCTGGGTACCAGCTGTGACTTGTATATAAGCTATGCCTTCATCATCATTAATGTCCACGGTGGTGACTACGGTGTCAGGATCCTTACTTCACTTGGTATCTGGGCATCATGAAGTAGCCTGGTGAGCAGCATGCTCAGGGAGAGATTCTGAGGGCCTGGGGCTAAGAGCACTGGCTACTATTGTAGAGAAAACACGTGTAATTTTGAGCACCACATGGTGGCACATGACCACCTGTAACTCCAGTCCCAGGGGATCCAGCGCCCCCTTTCTGGCCTCCATGGGCACCAGACATGCATGGGGTGTGCAGACATACATGCAAGCAACGCTCATGCATAAAATGAACACAGCTAAAGAAAAACATTTTAATTAGATCCTATACTCATTAATGTCTAAATTTACTCGCCTGAAGGCAACCTGACCCTCCAATGTTACAGTTGGGTAGGGTATCATTCGACGAAATAAAAATTAAATTTGAAAACACAGTTATACCAAAAAGACAACAGAAATAAACTTAGTGAGTCAAGAGCTTAGCGTTTCTCCAGTGGAGCTAACTTTCAACCTAGAATTTTAAACTTATCCCAATACACTCAAGGTTAGATTTTGTTTGACTTCCTTAACATTTCATGCAGATTCTCAAGTCATCTAAGATAATGTCTATCAGTATATTCCATATGAAATTATTCAAAAGAGACTACATAATATTAAATCTAAATGAACAACAGCTTATATAGAACAGTTTGGCTGCCAGCACTCCAGAGACAGAGGCAGGAAGACCTCTGTGAGTTCAGGGTCAGCTGGTCTATATAACAAGTTCCAGGCCAGCCAGGACCACACAGTGAGGGCCTATTTCAAAATGGAGACTTTTTGATGACACATTAGAATTAAAATTCTAAACTTTTGCAGGCAATGAAAGCAGGGGGCTGGCCTGGGCTACATTTCTGATTTAGCCAGTAAGAAAAGAAAACACGGGTTGACTTTAGATCTTACTTGGATAAACAGTACTGGGCTGTGGGAATTATCAGAGAATTCTCCAAAACATCAGAAATAAAAGAGTTTTTAGACGTGAAAGAAATGGAGGAAAGAAAATGTCATGATTTCCCCGACAGGAGTCAGGAAATGGACACCGTGACAGACAGGAGCTGCAGAGGTGGTGGCAGAAATGAGAACGAGCAGTCCACAGTCACAACCAGTGTACAGGGACTGATTGGTTCTGAGACAGGAAGTCTCCATTGTAACATTAAAGTGTCTTCTTAAAGTTACACCTAACACATGTGTACAGAGAGCTGAGACGGGAACATGGGAAATGTTCCCGTTTAAAACACAATGTCAGGGAAGCAAATACTCTACCTTCTAAAACGTAAGACACATTACGGCTGCCAGAGTACTTAAGCTTTAAGAATTAATCCAGTGGACTCACACCAATAACACAGCTCCAGTAGTCAGTGTGGATACGGAACAACTCAACAGCGTGATTACTGCACATTTATACATGAAATGCCTGTCACGCATGGGCAGCTGGCAGCCCCACAGATAAAACACATTCCCAGTAAACACGTCTCAGACTCACCAGCCCAGAGAGTGAGAAAAAGAGATGTCAAGGAAGTCAAATAAAATCTAGAGGGTATTTTCAATAGAATGAAAATCTAAGGAGGCTGTTCTACCAAACTCCACAGAAACAAAGAAGGCCTGTAAAGGCATTACATCAAACACGTTATCAGAAATATTAAACAGAAACAGAACTGCAACTCAGAGCCCCAAACACAATAACCAGAAGTGACTAAAGAGGAAGTCAAGTGAGCAGGGAACGCCAACGCCAACACCCAGCACGTTACAAAGGATAGCTTTTATTTTTTCAACAAACTAGTGAGAAAGCTTAACAGTGTCAGGCCAAACGGTCCTAATATAAAGTGAGCTGTCCAAACTCAACAGAGAAGAAAGGTATTTCTGGCCCTTAAAATTGACTTCAGCAATGAAGGAGCTGAAGAGAGGACTCCAGAGTCAAGAACACTTGTTGCTTTTGCAGAGGACCCAGACTCAGTTTGCAGCACCCACATGGGAACTCACAACTGTCTGTGACTCCAGATCCAGAGCATCCGATGCCTCCTTCTGGCCTCCATGAGAATTGCATGCACACAGTGAGTGCATAAACATACATGCAGCCACAGCACACAAGGTGAACACAAATAAACTCTTGCAGTAGTAGTAGTAATAATAATAATAATAATAAGAAGAAGAAGAAGAAGAAAATCAAAATTGACTTTTGATTAAGAACTAGAAAGAAACAATCGTTTCTAATGGGGTTCCAGGTTATGTTGCTGGTACATGGACCAAACTGTGAAACAGTAAAGTAATTTAAAGAAACAGAATAACACTTCATCACTGTGACAGAACACCTGAGAGTTCTGCTTACTCTGGATCACAGTTTTGGGGTGTCAGCCCATAATGGTAGGGCAGTTTACATGCTCCCGGTGACATACTTCCTCTAACAAGGCCCCATCTCTTGCCTTCTGTGTGTTCCTGTCAGCACAGGTAGAATAACAGAGACAGCCCAACATGGCTGCCAGCAGCCCAAGACTTTCCTTTTCCTTCAGGTGCCTCCACTTAGGTAATGCCAGACCCGTGATCTCGCCACAGAATGGAATCTCGGGACCATCAGTATGAGCCTAAGCTGGAGTTTATTAAAAGGAGTTTTAAAGATAGATTTAAGTACAATGGTCCACCGGGAAAGAGTAAGACACACCTAATAAAGACATGGGCTTCCCCAAGGAGGGTAGCACTTAGCTGTCTTTACAGCAGCCATAGTTACAGTTTTGGTAGGTTCAGAAGTTACATCTTCAAAAGGTTGCTAGGAATCTAAATGAGATCCCAGGGTGGCTCCTGAGGTATACCAGAAGGACTCCAGCTGATAAGATAAAACCCTACACCACAAGAAGCACACTAGAAACCTAGAGCCTTTTCCATGAGAATTTCAAAAAAATAAAAAATCTGAAAAGGGAGTCACATGGGCTCAGGCCTTCAGCATGGTTCGCCGTCGTTGTTTTAAAATTCATACTTAAAAAATTCTATATAGACAGAGTATTGTTGCTCTGTTTGCCGTCTTTACAGAAAAAGTTTAATTGTGGTGGAATCTGTTATTCTTAATCATCATGAGGCTTCAGGCAGACTTCGGAGACAAGGGCTGGTTTGCCATCCCGAGCCCCCTTAATTGCCCATGTCTTCCTATGGTACTGTTCTTCCAATAATACTAGCCTGGCATGAATCCATACAGGGATTAACCCATTGATGAGGTCATGCCTTCAAAGATACCTCTCAAAGATGGGCTTTGCTAATGTCAACCAGTAGAGTTGATAATTAAGATTAATGATCACACTCTACAAATTTTTATCACATGCTGAGAGCATGCTGCTTGAGCACAGGTAGGAATCTCATCAAAGGCCCCAGCTGTATATTTATTCATAAAACCAGATAATGTGAACATCTTCAATATAAAATGTGCATGGTTTAGATCAGCACCCAGAATACATATAACTATTCAATAGTATTAGCTATTTTTAACTGAAAACTGAGCTTCTTAGAGTCCAGTGTATACCTCCTCTTAAAGGATAAGGTCCCTATAATAAGTTAATAAAATAGTAACCAACCAGCCCAATTCTTTCCTGTCAGCCCTACGGTAGAGCTTCAGCTGACATGTGAACTCTCCTCCCTGGCTTGAATGGCATTAACCCCAAGCCCCTGTGCTTGTTTGTCTGACTTAAGCTGGCTCTTTTTTTCCCCCACAGGGGCATTCATCCCTCGGTGTAACGAGGAGGGGTACTACAAAGCCACACAGTGCCATGGCAGCACGGGGCAGTGCTGGTGTGTGGATAAATACGGGAACGAGCTGGCTGGCTCCAGGAAACAGGGCACTGTAAGCTGTGGTGAGTAAGGCCTTCCGGCACCAATCCTCCAATACCCCATGTGGTCCAGGGGGCCTCACTGTGTAGGGATCACCACAGAATTTCAAGAGCCAGCTCTGGCTGTAGTTGAGTCTGCAGTAGAAATAAAAGTGCTGGAATTCATGACCTCATACCATGCTGATTTCACTAGCAGCAAGCACTCACCATTACCACTGGGTGAACGGGTTCTACATCAAGGGGCTGGCCCTGGCACAGCCAGCCAGTAGGATGGTAGCCTTCAGACAAGACAAGGTTGATGTACCTGGGGTACTCTAGAGCCCTGTTCTAGTTTGTTTTCTATTGCTTTGATAAAGATCATATTCAAAAGTAACTTGAGCAGAAAAGACTTATTGGGAAGTCAAGGCAGGAACCTGGAGTCGGAAGTTGATGCAGAGACCGAAGGTCCAGGACCAACAATCCAGAGGCGTCATCACCCACAATGCACTGCGCCCTCCCATATTAAGTGTTGATCTAGGAAATATCCCACAGGATTAATTAACCTGAGGGAGGCATTTTCTCAATTGAGGTTCCTTTTCCCAGATATGTCAAGTTGACAAAAAAAAAGAAAAATCACCAGAATGGGTTTCCATCAGAGCAGCTCAGGGACTGAGCCCAAAGGATTGTTTTCAAACGGAGCTCCCATACTGCAGAAGCAAACAGCCTGGGTTTGCCCCAGAACTCAAGTCAAAAGCGTAGGGAGCCCCAGCATGTGCCATGGGGGACAGTAGGAACTAACCACAGTTCTTTCTTTCCTGTACCAGAAGAGGAGCAGGAAACCTCCGGGGACTTTGGCAGCGGAGGCTCCGTGGTCCTCCTGGATGACCTAGACGATGAGCGGGAGCTGGGACCAAAGGACAAAGAGGGGAAGCTGAGGGTGCACACCCGGGCGGTGAGGGAAGATGATGAGGATGAAGATGACGACAAAGAAGACGAGGTTGGGTACATATGGTAGTGCCCACGAGGAAGAGGACACGCTTTTGGCACAGATCTGCAAGTCGTTTCCTTTGCCTGCGTTTGTATCTAAGACTCCGAGGCACCGGGGTCTCTTCTCCACTGTTGCTCTCTGTGCCGGGGACTGAGGTTTGGAAGACCCTCTTACCAGAGCGTCTGAATTTGCATACAGTTGTGTGGGAGAAAGGATGTTATTTTTGTTCCTTGTTTTTTGTTTTCATTGGATGAGAGGATGGGCTGGCTTAAAGCCTCCGTCTCTCCCTGTGAGGTTTTTGCAACTAGCATGTGAGTTATGTGGAGTCCAACAGTGCGGGGAGCCCCACCCTCTCAAACGTCAAAGACCCTCTCTGATTACCCACGTTGGTGGTTCTTTCAGCATGGTTCCCAGCCTTATGTCTCCGTGCTTTTCTTGTGTCCTGTAGCTGTTGTGGAAAACATACCAGGCTGTCCCCTTTTCCTCCTGTCTCCACCACCTCTGGTGTTTATTATTAAAAATTAATTTTCATGTCACTGTATCTTCCTACAAGCGACAGCCTTAATTCAGACAAAGTCCCTTTGGAGAATTCATTTCCTTTCTTAAAAATTAAGATCTCGATGCTCGCCTCCCTGCTCCTCCCCACCCCCCATCCATGCATAGACTGTGCTTGCAGGACCTCCATACACACCTCCCAGCTGTGTGTCTGGTCGTGTACCGGAAACACCTTAGATAAACAATGGCTTTTAGTCAACAGCTCCAGACCCAGAACACAAACCGGGGTATGAAATTCCTCTGGGAGTCTGGTTTGCACTGACTCTTGGCGTGTATAGCTTGCAGCCTGGGCAGGCTCCTCTGTGCGGTCTCAGAGTGACTGGAAGCCTTTTAGATTGGGATGAGCCTCCGTTTGCCTAAATTGTTTATACCCACAGAAGCCATGCAACTCCCACATGGGCGGCCTCACAAGCCATTTCTTCACTTCTGCTCAAAGCTCCCCTCAGGATACAATGTATCTACCTGCGGCAGCTTCGGTCCCTGTCCACCCAAGGGCTGTTTCCTACGGTGTTCCTCACTGAGCCCATGCTCCCCAAGAAGAGAACATCGTTATAATGTTTAGAAGAAAATTGAGGGTTCTTCATTGTTTCCTTCGACCCCCTTTCTATCTACAAATCATGACCAGGGTAGAGAGGCTTTAAAGTTTCTCTTCCTCCCCCATTATTTAATAAGAACCCCCAATGGAAGCCGAGAAAGAGATTCCTAGCACCACAAGAGGCTAGTCCGCTAGTCAGCAGCCATCTCTCTGACACAGGCCGATGCCTAGCTGACACACTGCTGAAGCGATTTTACTGTTTGTCCCCCGAGCTCACTATTGGCATCTGGTTTCAGTAGTGATATCATCTCAATATTTTTCAGATTTCTTTCCCACAAATACCAAAGAGTAATCTTCAGTGTAGTCCCATTCTGGTCAGGGCCAGTCCCGGGCTCTGCCCAGCTACTTCCTACCTACCTAGTTGCCCTAACCAGCCACAGCCTGCCAGACACACTCTCTCTATGGTCCTTGCCTTCCCCCATAGTTTTAAGCCAGTCCACAAGACAGATCAACCAACTCAGGCAAAAAGGGTATTTGGTTAAACGGAGATCATGGAGGCAGAGCCAGCCTCCCACCCCAAACTGGCTTCCTGTATTTAGGAAGCCGCCTTCAATTAACATTCCCTTCCTTGAACAGGATGTGCAAAGTGACATCAGCCCTCGTGGGAAATGAATGCACATGGTGCCCTTCACCCCTGGTCTGGTATACACACACGCAGAGCCAGGGTGCTGAGAGTCTGTGTGCTTCCTCCTTATGAGATGTGAACCCGCTCAGTTTTTAGGATCTCAGTGCCATCCTTCCCCACCCCCCTAGTTTGTTTCTTCTTCCCATTCTCAAAACTGATCATAATTTAGAAAACAGGTGCTTAATCACAGCTGAATTATAATAGAATACATTAAAAAGACATATTAAAAATCTCGGTGTCGGCATCCACATAAGCCATTGTTGTTGTTTCCTTTGAGCTCGGGGGACCAAAAAGTGCACAAGAGAACAAATTAACAATTGGCAAATTGATTTCTCTTTAAGAAACTTCTAGGAACCCAATGAGCCACTTACTTTGTCTAATTATCTTATGACAAGTGTCACATTAAGATGACACTTAGAAGTCCTTAACATTATCGTAATGGTGAAGAAGAGTACTCAGTAGGCGATTCCCAGGAAGGTAATGAGATGTCGTTTTCAGAGACATTCCAAGAAGATATTTTGATTCATTAAAATATTAAATCAAAAGCCCTCCTACGTCTGGTGCCCACATCAACAAGGCAGCCAGTGCCACTTCTCATGCCCCCTTTGGGTTTTAAAGATGGCTATTTATAGTGGTACTTAAGGTTAGACTTTTGTTACGTTCTCCTGAGAAATAGTACTTCCGCTGGCCTCTTTTTGGAAGGAGCCTTTCATTCTAAGTAATCAGGTGAGCACATGAGACTTCGGTTGGTCCTGTTACCTTGATTCCACAAACGGCTACATACTACCATTGCTGTGACATCCAATTTAAACCCCAGAATTCTCTTCCACCAGGGTTCATTGTAGGCCATATTAATGTGTTTCTACAGATTTTTTCCAGCATGAGGATGGCTTCACATGGCTCTCTCTCGGTCCCCTCTTTATGCCCATGTCCCTGTGTATACAGGAAATGATGATCTGTCTGTCCAGGTCTGCCCTCTGCTTGTCCCACAACGCCATTGACTTTGGCTTTGGTTTGCTTTTATCTTGACCGCACTGTACAGTAACATCCAAGAGCCCTTTCTACAGTGGGTGGTTTTGGTCTTTTTATGCCTTTTCTTGGTCAATTGATGTTTGTCCCTGTTCAACGTGTAGCCCTGTAACAAAAGCCCATCAAATTCAGAGTGTCAGTCTGTTGTCCCCAGTGTAGGTGAAATAGTGACGTAGAAAATCTAGTATTCTGAATGCTTTTCCATGTAGACTTTTCTGGAATGTGAACACGACTCTTTGGTTAATAGCAAGCGCTTCCCTGTAGTCCTGAGTAGGCACAGTTCTGTCTGTCTCAATAAATTTTACTTTGTCCGCAGCATGTGAATGCTTGTGTTTTCTTAGCCTGGATATGAACTTAACTCACCATGTCCCCACATAAGCACTGCAGAACAGTCTGGGTTGTCAAACGATTCCTGCTGGATCAGGCCCTCAGGCAAGGCTGCCTGTCACCTGGCCTGGTTCCTTGGACTGACCAGCCTACCTGTACCTACTCAGACACATTTCAAGCCCTCACGTTTGGCTGCTTTGGATTCCCTCTGGTCCCAGCTTCTCCCTCACCTGCTAAATTTCATTCTTGCCACTCCTAACATCTCTCAGTCTCGCTGATGATTGGGAGTAAAATCTTCTCTTTTTCTTCAGGAACCCCCACCTCTCCCCCGTGAATTAGCATATCAGATGCTTGTCAAGCTGACAGGCATCCAAACTGGGACAGAGCATCCACAGTTGTCCCAGCGTGCCTGTGACTCAGTCACCCCTCCATCAAACCACTCTCTGGGTGTTCTGAGACCTCTGCCTGCAAATATCCCCTCCACTCTGGAAACCCCAGTCCATATCTCCAGTGTAGGGTTTGAATTAAGCTCCAATCAGAAATACCCACCGGCTGTTGCATTTATGTTGGATGAATTTATCGCTGACACTTCAACCCCAAATCCTGCAAACTACAGATGACAGGACATCTAGTCACTGTGCCTGGGGGAAACAGTCAGTAAGGCATTCCTGGAACCCTAACAAACATCACCCATGAAGGGGACAACTGACAAACTTGACAAATGTGAACCCATAAAAGATAATAGCACATCATAAAGAAAACCCAAACAAGAGACTGAAGAAGATGTTCATGGCATAAAGCAAAAGAAAGATTAGGGTATAAAATATGTTTTAACTCCTAGAAGTTCACAAGAAAAACAGAGCACAACCGACTAACAAGGGAAAGATTAAAAGCAGTTCACAGGAGCACAGAAGGCAATGAAACTGTGCCATTCTGCCCAGTATTAGACAGTGGCAAATAAGCGCTAAAGTACAGTGCTTAGGAATGAGAAAATAATCCTGGTCCAACCGAGGGGTGATGAGCTTGGGGATCAAGAGGACTCCTGTTCCTGATGGAATTAGAATTATGACAGCTGAGTACCAAAAGAATACTGACACAGGATGTATATACCCAGGGAACAGAAATTCCACTTCCCAGAGACCACCCTCAGTGAAAAAAATGATGCAACTTAAAACAATGTGAAGGCATTTCCTTTGGAACATTGTTTCTTAGAAATATGAATTTGAGGATAATAAGATTAAAGATCCATCAAAGAAGACACAGAGGAGTATATACTTTGAAATATTCCAGAGCAGTCAAAAGATGAAGTAACTTGTTATATACTTAGAAAACTTCTAAAATATTGATTATATTGGAACATTTTAGGTAGTATCAAATGTGTAAATTATGTATCTAAAACTTGATACTATTTGTTACTCAGCGTACACACAGACAAAAGCAAGAAACAAAGGGATACATTTCAGAACAGTAAAGGTGGCACCCTGAGAGGGAAAACCATGGGCATGGGACAGGTGGCAGATACAGGCATGGACTTCATTTTTAAACTTCACTGTTTGTGTCACATAGCAACACATCACATTGTCTTGTGTGGTGGTTCCCGATAATCAGGGGGCTGAGGGAAGAGGTTACCCGGCTCCCCAGTGAGTGTGAGGCTGGCTTTCCACATGGAAGAGAATTGGGGAGGGAAAAGATACCAGGAAACAGGGGAACGAAATATAGTCCAGCAGCTTCTTCAAATGGCCTCCGTGTAAAGACTGCTCTGCCATCTAAGGCATCCCCCTCATCTTGGCTCCTTCTCCTTCTTCCTCTCACCATCGCTGTCCTGTCCCAGCAGCATGCTCTAACTATCCCAGGAGCCCGTGTTTGATGGCTTCATTCAACCACACATTTGGTGCTGGACATCAAAACCAAGCCTTTACCAAAACTAGACAAGCACCCCATCACTGAGGTACAAACCCAGCCCTTTGTCCTTGGGTTGGAGTCTCCGGTCTTGATTTTGCAGTCCTCCTGCTTCAGGACCCCCCCCCCCCCCAGGGCTGGCATTAAAATCCTGCTGTGTCACGTCCGGCTTCAGGAGCTTCCAAACTGCAGACCCATCTTTTCTATTGCCTGGCTCTTACAGCCTATGGGAAATGTGGTCACCAGAGTAATTGATTAAAAAACGCCAAAGCTGATCAGGTCACTGTCCCTATTTAATTGCAAGTTTTCTTATCAAATTATAAAGCACAGTGCCCCTTCCTTATATGCAGAGAATATATCTTGAGTCCTCCACTGAATGCCTTAGCCTCATACTGAACCCTATATGTACTGTCTTTCCCTACAGTTGACACACGTATGATGATGTTTATGTTACAGGAGAATATTTAGCCATTTATGATGGCAGAATACAACATATGAGAATGCCA